TGTGTCTCTCTCTCTGTCTCCTTGTGTCTCTGTCTCCCTGCCTCTGTCTCTCTCTCTGTGTCTCCCAGTGTCTCTGTCTCTCTGTCTCCCTGTCTCTGTCTCTCTCTGTCTCTGTCTCCCTGTCTCTCTGTCCCTCTATGTCTGTCTCTGTTTCTGTCTCTCTATGTCTCTGTCTCTCTCTCTGTCTCCCTGTCTCTGTCTCTCTCTGTGTCTCGTAGTGTCTCTGTCTCTTTCTGTCTCCCTGTCTCTCTCTGTCTCCCTGTCTCTCTGTCTCCCTGTGTCTCTCTCTCTCTCTCTATCTCCATCTCTGCCTCCCCCCACTTGACCTGAGCCCCACGCTCCACCGTGCTCACATCCACCTGAGGCACAGAGCTGACTTGTTGCCTTATGTGCGCTCTGCCCTCAGCACACGTGGCCGGGGAACGAGGCAGCAGCCAGCTGTGCATCCCCGAAGCCCCTGTGGGGCCCCGCCCTGCAGACCCCACCCGCCGTCTGCACAGGCCCAACGGGACCCACAGCGTGTCCACCCCAAAGACCCCCGCTGGAGAGGGCGCAGGGGAGACACTGCCGGACGAGCCGTGCACACGTGGGTCGAGTGGGCAGCGGTCCAGGGCTACCCTGTGTGGGAGCCACCGGGCATCAATTCAACGCAGCCTGCCGGACCCCGGCCCGCAGGAATCCTCATTCAAGCTCTGCCCCCTAAAACGCCCTGGCGCCTCCTAACGTCACCGGAGCTGTGACCAGCCAGCCGTCCCCTGCCGTCCCTCCGGCCTCCGGCCCATGCTGGATTCCTGGGCTCAAGACGGCAGACGCCCACTGCTTTTCTAAGAGGTTCCCGTCACCCCGCAGGCTGGAGACGGTCCGTCCCTGGGTCCCTTAGCGACACACACGTGTCATGAACGGGAAGGGTACCTGAGACAGGTGTGTGGCCTTGTCCCCCAGAGACGTGTGGCCGGGGCCTGGTCCTGCTAGGATGGCGCGCTCCAGGTGTGAGAAGAGATTCCAGGTGTGGTCGTTGTGGTGCATGACAAGGCCGTGCAGGGAGTACTCCACGTCCGACACCAGGTGCCGGCTGGCCAAGTCTGTGTTGCTGTAAGCTGAAGGGACGGGGCACCGTGGGGTGTCCGGCCAGGGATCCCCAGGCTGACCCCACAGCAGGGGAGGGACGCAGCTGCTCGGCGCCGTGGAGATGGGAACACACTCATCGTCCCCAAACGGGCTCATCGTCCCAGAGGCAGTTCCCCCAAGACCCCTGGGATGGCCACTCGGCCAGACCACAGCCCCCAGTCGCTCAAGCAGATGCCAGGCTAGGTGTTGCTGTGCACGTGTTTAGTAGACGTGGTTGGCATCTGCCGACTTTAAGTAAAGGAGACGACCCTCAGGATGAGGGTGGGCCTCATCTAATCAGTTGAAGGTCTTAAAAGCAGAGATGGGATTTTGCTGGGGAAGAAGGAATTCTGCTTCAAGGGGGCAGGGTCAGCCTCAACTGAGTTTTCAGACTGCAGGCTTCAGTCGTCCGGCCCCACGACTGCATAGCCAGTTCCTTGCCGTGAATGTCCTAGTCTATATCCCCTGAGTCCTGTTTCTCTGGAGAGCCCTGACTGGGAGAGGGCCTTCCTTTCCCCCTGAACTTCACACCAAGGCCGGCTGTCCACAGAACCAGGCCCCCGGGAGCCCTTTTGGGACACCCCCACCTGCAGAGTCAGAGGTGGGGGAAGAGGCGATGGTGGCCCCACACAACTGTGGTCCCTGGATGTGAAACACGGCACTGTGCCCATTTTAAGGATTAAGTGCCCTTACTGTGGAGGCCCACTGAAAAGCAGGCATGTGCCATACAGACATAGGAACTGCCTATCGGATTCAGGCGGAGAACCGTGCCTGGCTTCTGCCAAAATGAGCCCTGAGATGCTCCCAGGGCACCGGGGATTCTACGTCTGGACGTCAGAGCCTTTCTCCTCGGTCAGTCACTGTGTTCAGTAGAGGAGAATCTTATTCAAGTGCTCTGGCTCGGGAGGAAGTGCTGCTGTTTACGCTGCAGATACTAAGGATGTATTCCTATGCCTTTTGTGTGAAGGGCAGGTCATGGGCCTCCACCAGCACCCACTTTCCTCCTTATCCCAGAAGCAGAGAGGCCTCTCCTGCCCCCCTGAGCATCCCAAGCTACTCAGGGACCAGGCGTAGTGCCCTCTGCTCCCGACCACGCGCCAGGGTTCCGTTCAGTTCAGCAACGCAGGGTGTCACCCGTCCTTCCATCCCTCATCTCTCTGTGTGTCTATCACCTACCTATCTATCTATCTACCTACCTACCTAGCATCTATTTATCTATCTACATATCTATCTATCTACCTATCATCTATGTATCTATCACCTATCTCTCTACCTATCTACCTATCTATCATCTCTCTATCTACATATCTATCTATCTACCTACCTATCATCTATGTATCTATCATCTATCTCTCTACCTATCTACCTATCTATCTACCTATCTATCAATCTATCTATCTCTCTACCTATCTATCTATCTACATACCTATCTATCATCTATCTATCTACATATCTATCTATGTATCTATCATCTATCTCTCTATCCACCTATCTACCTATCATCCATCTATCTACATATCTATTTATCTATTTACCTACCTATCTATCTACCTATCTCTCTATCTAGCTATCTATCTATCGATCTATCATCTATCTATCTACCTATCTATCTACCTTTCTATCTATCTATCTATCTACATATCTATCTATCTACCTACCTATCTATCTATCTATCTACATATCTATCTATCTACCTACCTATCTATCTATCTATCTACCTATCTATCATCTATGTATCTATCACCTATCTCTCTACCTACCTACCTACCTATCTATCATCTATCTATCTCTCTATCTACATATCTGTCTATCTACCTATCTATCTACCTACCTACCTCTCTATCATCCATCACCCATCTACCATCTATCCATCCATCCATCCATCTATCCTATCTATTCATCTATCCATCTATCTACAATATCTATATTTATCTATAAGTATCATTTATCTATCATCTGTCTATCTATCTATCCATCATCTATATATCTATCCACCAATCTATCTACATAGGTATCATCCATGCACCCACATTGCCTGCGCATACATCCATCTACGTGTATCTTCCATCATCTATCTGTCTACTATCTGTCCACCCATCCTCTGGCTATTTATCATCTATTATCTATCATCCTTCTATCATCTATCTATCATCCATCCACCCACCTACCCACCCTTTCATCCATCTATATTGTCCGGCATCTATCTACGCACTCATCATTGTCTGTCTATCATCTGTCTATTATCAATCTATATCTATCTATGTATCCATGAATTCATCGCTTCATCTCGTGCCTCCACCTCGTGCCTCCACCTCGTGCCTCCATCTTGTCCCTCCATCTGGTCCCTCTATCTCATCCGTCCATCTCCTGCCCCCACCTGGTACCTCCATCTCGTCCCTCCATCTCTTTCCTCCATCTGCCTATCTACATAAATAAGTCAGCAGAAGCGCACATCCACGTTGTGCGCACACATCTCCTATTGGTTCTGTCTCTGGTCAACCCGGCCTGACACAGCCCATCCGACATCAGAGCCCGCACGACAGCGCTCTCCTAACACTGACACAGTGGCCTCTGCTCCTTTCTCTCATCCATCCTCTGCTTGTCACACGCTGTGCACAGACGACCCCGAAGGCAGAGGGACGGAGGTTGGGCCCTCCCCGCCTTGGCCCGGAGGCCGCCTTCACCCGGTGACTCGCTTCCACCCGCAAAGACTGGCTTCCACCCGCAAAGACTCTCGGCAAGACGCCCAGCAGTCCTGACCTCTGCGTGTCTTCTCCAGTAACCCCAGGGCCACACACACATCCAGCAGCTGTGCCACTCCACCCCGAGGGGCGCCGAATCTCGAGGCTATCTCCGAGGCCCTCAGGGGGGTTTCGTCCTTGAGTAAATCAAACACCTTCAGCTTGCACGCCGTGAATAGGGCCTGTCCGAAAAACAACGACAATGAGCCTGATGAGTGACTTATGGAGTACGTGTCACTCTCGTGACTCGGAAGATGGAGGTCAGACCGTCAGAGGTTTCTAACTCGTCAGCTGGACCTTCTTCTCCGGGGAGCAGGGGCTTTAGGTCCACGTGGTACAAGGTTGGCGCAAGGTGACACCAAATCAGGGAATACCAAGCACACACATGGTCCCACGGGAGGAACACTGTGGTCCTGCTGCTGCCACGGGCTGGACGGTGTCCCCCCGAGGTTCATATGCTGAAGCTCTGACCCCCAGAACCTCAGAATGGGGTGAATTTGGAGACAGAGGTCCATCCCCAGGTGCACAGATTCTCTGTGCTTCTCCAGACCACAGGGGACACCAATGACCCTCATCCACGTGGCCACCGGCTAACACAAAAGCCTCCTGTGACAACGGGGGCACC